GACCCCCCCCCCCAATATACTAATAACCCCCCCCCCCAATCCAGCTCTTAACCCTCCCCCTAAACCTCAAAACCGCACGTTAGACACTGCAGGTAGAAAGCAGATCAGAGAGGACAGGGCTTCTTGTGCACAATGGGAAGGACAGAGGGGATGATATTATTATGCCAGCAACAAATTCCAGCCCCTGCTCCTCTGCTGTGACACAGGCCCGGTGTCATCCCTGTGCCGAGGAGGCTAAAATCGCGGGGGACTGCTACCTGCTGTCACCCACACAGGCATCTCCTGCGGGCTGCAGTGTCCTGGAGCTAAACTGCGTTGCAAATTCCCCTTGGTCTGGCTGCCTTGGTCTGCTTGGTTTTTTTGTCCCCTCGGTTGCATACAGCAAGTGAGTAGAAACGGTGGCACTTAGGAAAAAAAACCCCCTTGTGCCTTCTGTGATTAGAGTGAATTTGGAAGAAAAGTTTGCCTGAGACTGCTGGAAAGAAGAACAGCTTGGAGTGGGGGTGTGAGGGACGTGGGGGATGTGGGGATGGGACAGTGATGCAGAGGATGGATGGGGAAGAGGCGGATGGATGGATGGATGGATGGATGGATGGATGGATGGAGGGAGGGAGGGAGGGAGGGAGGGATGGAGGGATGGAGGGATGGAAGGATGGATGGCGCTCTGGGTACACGGACGGATCAATATATTTTGGAAGAATGGTGTTCATGGATACATGCGTGCATTCAACATATGGTTACATTTTTAGACACACGTTAAGGCGAAGGGATGTCACTTCTCTTGCCTAAATCACTGGTTATCATTTGAAGCAGGAGAAGTTCTTTCTAGTCGCCAGTACAGATCAGAAGCGTACAGAATCAGCAGGCCGCCGCTTGGTCTAAGCCCATCGCCATCACACACCTCTCCCCACACCCCCTCTCCTCCAAGCGTTTCTAACCCCGTCTGGACAAACGGTCTGCAGCCCGTCGTGTTCGTGCTCCTAAAATCACCGTTAGAGACCATGCCACCGACGCCCTTCAGGGTCCCGTAAAATATCTTTATTATCAGCTGAAAAGCAGGCGTCCAGCTTTCAGAGAGATTAGGGAGAGGCTCTTCAGTGTAAAACCAGTCTGCTGAATAGGAAAGGCTCCCCGCACCCTGCTTCCCTCCCTGAAATGTAAAATTCCAAGTTTTAGGAAAAAAAAAAAAAAAAAAGCTGTGTTTTTTCGTGTTTCCAGGTTTTCAGAGCAGAGGTTTTTCAGGGTTGCGCTGGCCACCCCCACTCCCCCTCGACTGCTCGGGGAGAAGCCAGAAGTTCAGATGATGGTAGCAAAGGTATTAGGAGACACATGGAGCGGGACAGGAAAAACAGCCCAAGGAAGGAAAAGCAATCTCCAAAGTGTGCTAAAGAGGGGACATTCTGCTTTGTGTAAAAGAGACGGACATGTGTCCACCAAATGTTGTCTTAGCGTAAAAAGGAGGGGGGGAAAAAAGAAGCTTGTGACTGCTCCAATTTCTAGAAACCCCCCCATCCCCCCCCAGTACCCCCGCTTTGAACTTTTTATATTTTTATTATTATTACTAAGGGTCGGGGGGGATAGCTGTGAGTTGGTTCAGGTGTGGAAGAAGTGTCCCCCTGTCCCCCGCCTCTGCTGCAGATGTGGCGACTTGGCTTATCAAAAAAAGCAGCCTCTCCAAGATTGGGGGGGGG